AATTGTAAAGTTTCAAAGAGTAAAAAAACTGATAGCAAAAAACCGTAAACTTTCACATGTAGGGAGGATACCAAAATGGTGAGGATTACAGGACTCTGCCTTTGGAAGACTGACCCATTCAGGGCTTCACAAAGCCACCCTTGAAACCTAGGGTCACAAGCTCTGGCATGCACTAAGATGGGGATCAGAGACCCAGCCCTCCTTGTGTTCTGCAGTCACTGCTGGGCATGGCCCCTAGACTCTGCAAATGGAGGGGGTTTACTCTCTGTTGTTAATTAAATCAACTTACTCTGAGAAGCAAAAAAAAAAAAAAAAGTTCTAAATGGAATGAAATCATTCCAGTAAAGATCACTGTAATTAAGACAGCAGAGATATTATTAACCTATTCAGAGCCAGCGATTATTCCCTGGCCAACTAATATATATAGAAAAAATTAGCCGGGCATGGTGGCGCATGCCTGTAGTCCCAGCTCCTCAGGAGGCTGAGGTAGAAGGATTTCTTGAGCCCAGGAGTTTGAGGTTGCTGTGAGCTAGGCTGACGCCACAGCACTCACTCTAGCCTGGGCAAAAAAAGCGAGACTCTGTCTCAAAAAAACAAACAAACAAAAATCTTCACACATCCTTCTCAATTAACATCTGTCACATTGTTTGGTAATAATTTTGAACCATGGTTCCTTGATTGACAGGAAAGGAGTCTTACTAACCTTTATTTTTGGTCTACCTCTTCTAACTATTTGATTGTATGTTAAATAAGGTTCAACTCTTAAGGAAAATCACTATTTCACAAAACTGATTCATCATTTAATCTTATTTCTCCAACTAAAGACTTAAAAAATATGTGCTTTAGCCTACTTTGATGGTAAGTGTTTAGAAAAGGATTTAAAAGCATGCTACATAGAACCACCCTATCTGTGAAAGCACTTTGTAATTGCACAAGATTAACACATGTAAGATTTATCGCAGGGCGCAGTGGCTCACGCCTGTAATTCTAGCACTCTGGGAGGCCAAGGTGGGCAGATCGTTTGAGCTCAGGAGTTCGAGACCAGCCTGAGTGAGAGCGAGACCCCCATCTCTACTAAAAAATAAAAAAAAAAATTAGCTGGACAACTAAATATATATATATATATATAATTAGCCAGGCATGGTGGTGTATGCCTTTAGTCCCAGCTACTCGGGAGGCTGAGGCAGCAGGATCTGCTTGCAGCCCAGGAGTTAGAGGTGCTGTGAGCTAGGCTGACACCATGGCACTCTAGTCCGAGCAACAGAGTGAGACTCTGTAAATAAATAAATAGCATAAATATAAATAAAATATAAAATAAAATAAAATAGCCATGTAACATCTCTGTGGAATTTCAAGGTGGGTTCCAGGATTCAAGACACAATAAGCCCTAACCTGCCCTCTCCCCTTCAGCCTGCCTTGTCGCTTCTAACCTGCCCTGTGATAAAATGGAGCTTCGACCCCAGAAGATTTTCGTATTATATGTAAGAAAGGAATAAATAGAATAAAGAACTCTTATACATTATTAACTAAAATACCCAGCAACCCAAAGGGTGTAAATAGGATAAGTGTTCACCTTCACTAATCATCAGGGAAATACAAATTAAATCTATAATATGATACCACTTTGGCCACATCAGACAGACCAAAAAATTTTAAATCTGACAACACCAAGTGAAAGTGAGATATGAAACAATGTGAACAACTCATACATTTTGGTGAAAATATAAATTGATAAACCACTTCAAAATACATAATCTTAGAGAACAATTTTTATACATTTACATAGGGTTCTGTTTCACTTCTTCATTAATTCAACTAATATTTACTGAAAACCTATTAAGTTATAGGTACTTCAGCATATCAGTGAGCAAAGGAAAAACAATAAACAACAACAACAAAAATAACAAGTAAATCACATACCAGAGGGGGTAAGTGCTAGAAGAAAAGGGAGGGCTAAAATAACAAGGTAAGTAGCAGCCAGACATTGGGGTGGAGGGCAGATTTCGGTATTAAACGGGTGTTCACAGTGGGCCTCATTGGGAACTTGGGGTTTGATCAAGATCGAGAAGTTGAGGGAATTATTCAGGGAAAGTAGTCCACCAGGTAGAGTGAAAGCCAGGGAGGCTCAGTCTAGGACCAATGTGACCAGGCGAGAATGAGCAAGTGGGCAAAAAAGTAGGGTATTGAGGTCAGAGAGGTAGAAGGGGCGGCCTTGCAAAAACAACAGGAAAAAAATACTTAATCCTGCAATTTACTAGCAATGGTTAAAGATCAATACTGTGAATTCTGCTTTGCACAACTTCTGAAAGAGCTGAACAAGATGGAAAAGTAAAGTAAATTTTCTTTTAAAACTGTTTTTGAGTATCTGCTTTCACAGAGTTCCTGGTAAACAGCAGGAGAAAGAAGCTGCACCCCCAACCATATCTCCAGGCAGGGTCACATCTCCTGTGATAATGTCTTCTCCAAGGAAAGGTGGGGAACCAACTCTTGACTTTGACATCCTGCTTTTATTATCAATGGACAATCATCACTTTTTTCTCTCTTGCCCTCCTTAACATCAGCAGGCCATTTGGCCTCAGTGCTGGCACC